CGCCCCCGCCGGCGGCCGCGAGCAAAGAACGCCCATTCCGGGGGACAGAAAGCTCCAGAGCGAAGAAGACCACCTCGAAGCTCGCCACTTGCTGCACAGCACACGCACCATCCGGCGCCCAGGCGGGCCCGGCTTGCCACGCGTCTCGTCGGGGGCGAAGCCGCCCGACAAGGAGGCCTGGACTGGCAATCGTCGGACTCGGCGAACGCACGTGACCAGCCGCTGGAGACGACGCCGTGGATCACCGTGCCGCTCTAGGTGTTCGAGCTGGTCGCGGGCGAAAGGGTAGGGGGCGCTGGGTTCGCCCCCCGTGACCCTTGAAGGGCGAGCTCCCAAAGCATCGAGTAGCTTCGCAAACTGCGAAGGGCAACTGACCCAGGCAGGGCCCGCGATCATCCTGTAAATTTCTGAAGGGCGCAACCAGGATGTGCAAACTGCCAAATTCTCGCGCGCCTGAGGGCCTTCGCTGTCGCTATGAAACCCTATTGGCCCCTTTTGCGAGCGTCGCGGCCCAGGTCGCTGCACTCGCGGCGGGCGCACTCGCCGGCATTGCGCATGTTCTCGGAGCGCTCGTCGCTCAAGGCTTGTCATGACAGCATAGTAACTGAGGGCCCGCGCGTCCCCCGCCGAGAGCTGGCATTCCCGAGGAGCCCGCCCGGTCGGAAACTGTTGGGCGCTGCAAGAAGCGCGGGCCTTCTAGTTGCGGCTCTTCAGGCCGACGCCTGCGTTCGCCAGGGGTCGACCTAGCTTCGGGGTCATGGCCATGTCTCTCCGCCTGCGCGCCTGGCCGAGCTCCGCCCAGGCGCACTGCTGCCGCTCGCGGAGCCTGCGACGGCTGAGCGAGCGTGGGACACCGGTGTAGTTCTTGATGGCTGTGCCCAAGGTCGCGGCCTCTACGCGCATCTTCGCCTCCTCCTCCGCCGCTGCCTTGGCCGTCTCCCCTAACGCCCTCCATATTTTCCCATGGTCCCTTCTAAGCTCCCCCAACTTCCTCTGGCACGCTAGCCTGAGAAGTTCCTGCAGGAAGTTCTGCAGCACCACCCCGCGAATCGTCGCCGTGACCAGCACGGCACGACCAGTGGTGGCCTCCCGCGACTCCAAGGTCTCCAAGGACGACGTGATCTCCGGGATGGCCTCACTCATGTCCTTGAAAAACTCCCAACGCTCAGTGAGTAGCACGCCTGCAAATCTCTGTCGATCCCATCGCTCACGGAATGGTGTAGTGTTGCTCAACGGGGCCACCGGTTGGAATTTCATCGCCACTGGGATAGGATCGAGGATTGCCCAACAAAAACTTGATACTTTCTCCACTGCGCTCCCATGCAATTGACAAGCGTACCAATCCCAATGCACTCTGTGGCATCCCGATGCAACCCATCTGCGACTCCGCACCGCCCATGCCCTTGTACGTGCTACAGACGGGCCAATAGGTCTTGGCCGCGGAAAAGCTGGGATCCGTGAGCATGTCGTGAACCAGCTTCCACGCGTCGGGTTCCCTGTCGGCGCCATAGTCCCCCACGACCGAGTCGTCCTCCTGATGCTACTTGATCCCCGAATTCAAATGCATCAGCACCATGGGGGTGTAACGATGTGGTAGTCGAAGACATGGTGATCGCGTCCACTCCGTGAGCATCGTGCATGTGCCCTTCCATGTCTTCGCCTCCCCTCTTTTCGACGGCTGTGGTGGGCAATCTAAACAATACGACCTGCGACCACTAGCGGACCAGATGCCACGTAAGTGATGCCCGCACGTCCTCGAAGACCTGCTGGTGGTACAATAACCCGTCGGATACAAGACGGCCCGAAAAAAACTTCTTGGCAAGCAGCAGCGTGAATCGGCAGCTCTTGTTCACAAATCTCGTTCGCCCTCAGCAAAAGTGAACCTCGTGAAGCCCTGCTGCTCGAGCTATGCGTAGCGCCACCCGCCCCGGCCCCTCCCCCCCCCCCCCCCCCCCCAGAACGACCGAAAACATGTGCCTGACAAGCCCGCGACGCCGACGACGCGCAGCGACTCGGAGACCTCGTCCAGCCTCGCCGCGCTGCTCTGGTTCTGCGGGTTGTACACTGCCACGAAGCACTCCCGCGCGTCCGACATGCAGGCAGCGCTGCACCACGCAAGGAGCCAGAGCTCAAAGCGTGCCCGCCTGCCCCCAAGGGGGGGGCGCACTCTGGCTGTCATGGCTGCCCCGAGGGCACGGTTGCCCCCATCGCGGCGCGCGCTCCTGTTGAGGGACTCCGCAAATGGGGGGACATGCGCGGGCGCGGAGCCTGAGGACGAAGAGGATGAGGAGAAGGAAGGACAAAGAGAAGAAAAACTTAGCCTGGCGAAGGACCCAACCATACGCAGCTGCGAGTACCGCACGGATATGAGACGAAGGAGGGGGCACGCAAACTAGGCCCCTCTTCTCATAGGCACCGCGCCACTGCATGGACGAGGCAAAGGGCAGCGCGGGCAGGAGGTGGCGGGCGGAGGAGGAGAGCTCACTGGGGCGAGCCAACACATCAGTATCATCATCGCATCATGAGACCTGTTACTGGGCACGCAGGAAGAGGTGACGGAGACACCCTGTAGATGTCGAAGGCAGGTCAGCAGCGGCAGAAACGAGACGGGGAAGCGCGCGGTCAAGAAGCGATGGGAAGCAGGAGGAGCGAGAGACGAGGGGAGAAGTTTTTGCCTCCAGACCGACAGCGAGCCACGCAGAATGCAGCGCGCAGGTGGCGCCGCGCGAAAGTTCCTGGGAAGTCCTCGCCGACGCGGTCTGGTCATCCCGAGGGAATCCCATCGACGCGCGGGGGTTGTTCACTGCGACTCTGAGTCAACGAATAGCGCCCCCGAACTGCGTGGCGAGGCGTGCGAAAATGGCGCGATCTGGGTGAAATCCCCCGACAGGCGCCGGTCATCCTCTGGCGAGAAATCCCGACGACGAGCTGGGGTCATCCAAGCGTCAGCGACAACCAGCGCGCGCCGCTGGCTCGTGCGGGGCCGCTCCCCAGGTCAGGCCTCGCGGATGAACTCGCTGAAGCCCTGGAAATAAAACAAAAACCAAGAAATAAAAAATAAAAAAAAGAAAAGCGAAAAAGATAAACAAGGAATTATAGTAACAATAATACAAAAAGATAAAATATAAACAACACACACCACAAAAAAAACAAAAAAAAAAGGAAAAAGGATTAAAATAAAAAAAATAGGGAGTAAAAACAAAGAACAAAAAAAAAGAAAAATCAAAAATAAAAAGAAAGTCCCCAGTTACTCTCTGGCGAGGGCCGTCGCCGCCCTCCTGCTCCCGGCCCTTTTTTGTTTTTATCGTATGCGCGCAAAGACAAAATGCCCCAGCTGTCTATCCATCCGCAAGCCCTCCGGCGGCCCTGCCAGGAAGAACTCGATGAGCGGCGCCCGCATGAGCAGGAGATCCTCGTGGCGCGTGGCGCGCGAGAGCAGCACGTAGAGCTCCAGCCACCAGTCGTCGTCCTCCTTCATGCCGTTCCCGACCTCGTGGCGGCCGCAGTCCAGGATCACGCCTGGGCGGCGTCGGTCGAGGGAGCGGCGCGCAAGACAGCCGACGGCCCAGGGCGAGAGTCCACGGGACCGGGAAGGTCCGGCTGCGGACCGCTCGCGTTCGAAGGGTTCGGCCATAGACTGCCCGGTGGCGCCGTTCCAACGCCCCGCCGCCTTCCCGCATGGTGCGCCCCTGGCACGCCACCGTGGTGATGACCCTGCCGTGTGAAAACGGGAAGCCCGTCCGGGTGACCTTGGAAGTGCGGAAGGTGAACGGCTCCGACGTGCGGGGCTCGATGAACACCAGCGGGCCCGTGAGGTCCCCCGTGAGGCTGTCGTCGTGGCTGGCGGCATGCGAGGTCTGCCACTGGGGCCTTCGGTGGAGCTCCCTATGGGGCCACGAAGCGTGTGAGAGGTGTGCCGAAATGGGGTGGCGGCGGCATGCGGACGCAGCCATTTGGGCCTTCGGTGGAGTTCCCTGTGGGGCCACGCAACGTGTGAGGGGTGTGCCGAACTGGGGTGGCGGCGGCATGCGAACGCAGCCATTTGGGCCTTTGGTGGAGCTCCCTATGGGGCCACGAAACGTGTGAGAGGTGTACCACAATTGAGGTGGCGGCGGCATGCGGACGCAGCCATTTGGGCCTTCGGTGGAGCTCCCCATGGGGCCACGAAACGTGTGAGGGGTGTGCCAAATATGGGGTGGCGGCGGCATGCGGACGCAGCCATTTGGGCCTTAGATGGAGCTCCCTATGGGGCCACGAAACGTGTGAGGGGTGTGCCAAAATTGGGTGGCGGCGGCATGCGGACGCAGCCATTTGGGCCTTCGGTGGAGCTCCCTATGGGGCCACGAAGCGTGTGAGGGGTGTGCCAAAATAGAGCGGCGGCGGCATGCGGACGCAGCCATTTGGGCCTTCGGTGGAGCTCCCCATGGGGCCACGAAGCGTGTGAGGGGTGTGCAAGAAATGGGCGGCGGCGGCACGCGGGCGCAGCCATTTGGGCTTTCGGTGGAGCTCCCTATGGGGCCACGAAGCGTGTGAGGGGTGTGCCAAAATTGGGTGGCGGCGGCATGCGGACGCAGCCATTTGGGCCTTCGGTGGAGCTCCCGATGGGGCCACGAAACGTGTGAGGGGTGTGCCAAAATTGGGTGGCGGCGGCATGCGGACGCAGCCATTTGGGCCTTCGGTGGAGCTCCCTGTGGGGCCACGCAACGTGTGAGGGGTGTGCCGATGATGATGATGATGATGATGATGATGATGATGATGATGATGATGATGATGATGATGATGATGATGATGATGATGATGATGATGATGATGATGATGACCGACAACCACGATGTGGATGATGATGATGACGATACTCATGATGATGAGCATGATGAGGATGGTGATGAATGATGATGGGAGGAGGGGGGAGGGGGCAGCGGGAGGAGGAGGAACGCGGGGCACCGTCTCTTCAAAACGAGGACCCAACACCACAGGATGGTTGGGAAAAAAATGAGAACCGCGGGGGCGGCGCGGCGGCTCTCTCCGCTGGCTTCGCGGCCGGCGCGCTGTACATGGCCCGCCAGTCCCAGAGGCCCCGAGGCCCAGCATCGGCCTTCGCCTCGGCGCGGCGGCGGGGCGGCGCCGATGGGCCGCCCGTGGCGGTTCGACGGCCTCCTTTGCCGGAGGATCCTCCTCCTCATTTCGCCCCCTCCTCCCTCTCCTTCTCAACTTCCTCCTCCTCCTCCTCCTCCTCCTCCTCCTCCTCCTCCTCCTCCCTCCTCCTTCTTCTCCTCCTCCTCCTCCTTCTCCTCCTCCTCCTTCTCCTCCTCAATCCCTCCTCTTTTTGTTGCGCTGGTCGCACTTAGGCCACGTATCCCTCCTCCTCCTCCTCCTTCTCCTCCTCCTCCTTCTCCTTCTCCTCCTCCTCCTCCTCTTACCCTCCTCCCTCCTCCTCGTCATCCTCCTCCTCCTCCTCCTCCTCTTCCCTCCTCCTCCCTCCTACCTCCTCCTCTCCTCCTCCTCCTCCTCCTCCTCCTCCTCCTCCTCCTTTTCCTGCTCCTCAGCCTCTTCCTCCTCCTCCTCCTACCCTGGACGTCCCGGACGCGCTCAGTAACTGGTAGCACTCTCCTCTTCGCCCTTCTACGCCTCTTCCTTCAATCCTCAGCCCTGGGACATACCTAAATTTGAGGCGTATCGGCTGCGCTCCCGATTACTCCCTCCCTCCATCCCTCCCCTCTCCCCTCCTCCTTGCTCGTTTGGGGAGACGCATCAACTGCTATACGGATCGAGGGCTGGTGGTTGTTTGAGAATGCGGTCACTCCATTGGCGCCGCGCACATGTTTGACAGTTACAGGGGTTGACAAGTAATTCGCCTTTACACATATAGCCCCCTCGTCTTGCATAATCAAATCGGACAGCTGTTGAACACCCTGCTGATGGCACCCATCTACCGCGCGATGGTTGCCACGCGAGTGCATCCTGCAGACGGACATCGGGTCATGCGGGGACGTCAAACACAAGGGCGAATCGCATAATGCACGGAAATGGTTTCAAACGCGTGGGGTGGGAGTCAAGACGATGAAGGCTGATACTTTTTTGACACGGCTTACGTGAATACATCCGGACAGGCGCCCGCCCATGTGAACGATGCAAAAGTCGGGTCAAGGTTAAGCAGGTACATATATATAGATATAGACATACATATCTATATACATATATAAATATGAATATATGTGTATATCCTCCGTTGCAGCTGCTGTAGTGTACATGATTGGCGCATGTCTCCCCGACGTCGTGTGGGGCGTTTCGCGAGGCATTGTTGATCGGCACGCCGAATGCAATGGCACAGGTGTGGCTCGGACCGCCCTCCTCCTCCTCCTCCTGCTCCTCCTCCTCCTCCTCCTCCCCCTTCCTTCCCCCTCCTCCTCCTCCTCCTTCTCCTCCCTCCTCCGCCTCCTCCCCTCCTCCTCCTCCTCCCCCTCCCCCCTCCTCCTCCGCCTCCTCCTCCTCCTCCCCCTCCCCCTCCTCCTCCTCCTCCTCCTCCTCCTCCTCCTCCTCTTCCTCCTCCGCCTATGATTATACATGCGACCTCTGTTGCACGCCAAGGCGCCCCGCGATCCCACTGCATCGCTGCGCTGTGCTGAGCGGGTTATACGCCCTGCTCGCGCCGACGTTGTTTGTCGTTTAGTGCTCGTTGTTTTGTTCGTTTTGCTGTACCTGTTGTCATGTACCTCCCCCCCAAAACGAAAAACAAAGCACAACCGAAGTCCAGCAAAGCAGCATCTAGGTCCAGCCCTGTTCTAGGACACCACGAGCATAGGTACAAGGTACACACCTGCGAAGACGGTGACGGGTGGCGGCTGGCTCGTCATCAAAATGCGGCTACCGCGCGAGACTTCCTCAAGCTCGATGGCCCGAGATCCCCCAACAAGTGTGCAACGGCTGCGCTGATGGAGGGCGGCTCCTTTTCGCAATACAGCTCTCGCGTGGGACCTCCGCACCCTCCAGGACCAGAACTTACAAGTGCGAAGCCCCTTCGTGGATGGAGCACAGATCCTCTTCTGAGATGGCGATCGCTGAACACTTACTTCAACCTTATCATCCGACCCCGTTGGAGAGGGAGAAAGAGGGGGAGGACGAGAAGGAGGAGGAGGGAAGAGGGAGGAGCACGCAACAGCAGGAGGAGGAAGGGGCAAGAGAAAGAGAAGGAGGAGGCGGACGACGAGAACGAAGAGGGAGGAGCAGGCAACAGGAGGAGGAGGAAGGAGGAGGATGCCAGAGAGAGACAGGAGGAGGTCGACGGAGAAATTGGCAAGAGGACGGGGAAGAAGGAGGATGACCAGAGGGAGGGGGAGGAGGAGGAGGAGGAGGAGGAGGGAGGAGGAGGAGGAGGAGGAGGAGGGAGGAGGAGGAGGAGGAGGAGGAGGAGGAGGAGGAGGAGAGGGGAGGGGGAGGAGGAGGAGGAGGAGGAGGAGGAGGAGGAGGAGGAGGAGGAGGAGGATCGTGGCCCTTCCAGTG